GATTAATTATTTTTTCCTAATTTTTTATAAAGTCAATTTTAATATTTAAAAGTATTTAATATTTTGAATTGTGAAACTTTTTCTCTATTAACAAATTTAAAAACATAATATACTAAAAAAGTATTATACATAATTATTTCACCCAAATTTTTAATAATATGATAAGTCATCAAATTCGTATATAAAACAAATTTAATGATGGATTAAAATAGAACAACATTTATAAGAGATTATTTATTTTTATTTATGATGGATCAAAAGTGGAAATACATTTAAATTTATAATTTTATTTATGAAACACATTTAAATTTATAATAAACGAAAATAATGAAAACCTTAATTAATATAATATGATACTTTTAGTAATGTATTTTTTTTATAAATTTAAACTTACTTTTTTTAGTTTAGTTTTTAAATTTTATGTATTATTATTGTTAATTGATATACTAGAATAAATTTATATAAAAATAGTCTTTATCTTCAAAATTCACTTCTTCAAATACTATCTTTATATTTTTCTACTATTTTTTATAGTTAAGAAGATCAACATTTGTGCACACACTTAAATATAATATAAAGTAAAGAGTATTTGTTTATTCTATTTTATTTCCAATCTACAATTTGAGTTTTTTTTAAATATATTTTGTATTTTTAAAATTAATAATTTTAATGTAGTTATCTAAATTTTTTATGTGATGATTTTAATTAATTGATATTATCGAATCATTTAATTTGATTTATTATAGTAAAAATCATAAAAATAAATGTTAAAATAATATTAATTATTTTAAATTATAAGAAAATAAATAATAAAAATAGAAAATAAAGTATTTTATAAAATAAGACTAATTATTATAAAGATAAAATAGAATATGGGAGGAAATGAGGATGATAATATAGTAAAAATGATAGAGTTTAAAAACAATGTAGAATGTAAGAAGTTTAAAAAGAAAAAAAAAGTTAAAAAAGGATATATATATATATATATATATATATATATAAATGTAATTGGATTAAATTTATTATCCCCTCATATATTATTATACATTATTAGCGTAATTTTAATTTAATTAAAAATTAGAATACAAATATACTATACTATACTAATATACCATTATATTATTTTCATTGTATATAAATTACAAAACTAATAATTTTAAAAAAATTTAATGATAATTTTTTTAACTTATATATTACAAAATATTTTTTAATACTTTAATAAATATAACTTTTTTAAAATATTTTCATTAATTTAAAGTATAACTTTTAATATTTTTTAATATTGTTTTAAATGTGGATATCTTTAATATAAATATATAAATATGTAAAGATATAAATATATATCTTTAATATTTTGTATATGTAAATATAATTTATATATATTTTGAAATCTTTTTCTAATATTTGTATACTATACTAATATATTATTTGTATACTATACTAATAGTATAATATACTATATTATAATATTATTTGTAAACAAAACTAATATCTTTATATCTTTATATATAAATATATAAATATGGAAAGATATAAATATATGTAAAAATATAAAGATATAAATATATAAAGATATAAATATATGTAAAAATATAAAGATATAAATATGTAAAGATATAAATATATATCTTTAATATTTTGTACATGTAAATATAATTTATATATATTTTTAAACCTTTTTCTAATATTATTTTTTAAAAATAAAATATTATTTTAAAATTTAATATTTAAATATATAAATATATAAAGATATAAAGATATAAGTATATAAATATATAAATAAATATATTAATATATTAATATATAAATATATAAATATGTAAATATATAAATATGTATATATATAAATATATAAATATATAAATATGTAAATATATAAATATATAAATATATAAATATGTAAATATATAAATATATAAAAATATCAATATATAATATTTAAATATATAAATATATTTGTATTTATAGATTTTATAAATATATAAAGATATAAATATATAAAGATATAAATATATGTAAAGATACAAAGATATAAATATATGTAAAGATATAAAGATATAAAATATAAAGATATAAAATATAAAGATATAAAATATAAAGATATAAATATATAAATATGTAAAGATATAAATATATATCTTTAATATTTTGTACATGTAAATATAATTTATATATATTTTTAAATCTTTTTCTAATATTTATTTTTAATAATATAATATTATTTTTAAAATATAATATTATTTTAAAATTTAATATTTAATTTTTTTCAAATATATAAATATATAAAGATATAAATGTATAAGGATATAAATAAATATATCAATATATCAATATATAAATATATCAAAATATAAATATATCAATATATCAATATATAAATATATAAATATATAAATATATATATATATATATATATATATAAATATAAATATATCAATATATCAATATTATCCCCTCATATATTATTATACATTATTAGTATAATTTTAATTTAATTAAAAATTAGAATACAAATATACTATATTATACTAATATACCATTATATTATTTTCATTGTATATAAATTACAAAATTAATGATTTGTATACTATACTATACTAATATATAATTTGTATACTATACTAATAGTATAATATACTATATTATAATATTATTTGTATACAAAACTAATATCTTTATATCTTTATATATAAATATGGAAAGATATAAATATATGTAAAAATATAAAGATATAAAAATATAAATATATGTAAAAATATAAAGATATAAATATATCAATATATCAATGTATAAATATATCAATATTTAAATATATAAATATATTTTTATTTATAGATTTTATATTTATATATTTATACGGATATACATTTATTTGTATATAAATATAATTTATTTGTAAGTTATTATTAAAAGTTCCTAGTAGTTCGAGTGGTTGGAGTTTCGGTCTCCAACTCTAAGGTACCAGGGTTTGAATCCTGACAATGACAATAAATCCGATTAGTAATAAGTTAAACTTCTAAAAAATATAATATAATTAAGAGTTAGGGTAAATAAATAAAAATAATTAATTTTGTTATTGGTTCGAATCTGACAATGACAATAAATCGATTAGTAATAAGTTAAACTTCTAAAAAATATAATATAATTAAGAGTTAGGGTAAATAAATAAAAATAATTAATTTTGTTATTGATTTAGCGATCGATTTAAATCGGTCGCTATTTTTTAAACTTTGTTATTGATTTAGCGATCGATATAAATCGGTCGCTATTTTTTAAACTTTGTTATTGATTTAGCGACCAATATAAATCGGTTGCTATTTTTTAAAACTTTATTATTGATTTAGCGACCGATTTAAATCGGTCGCTATTTTTTAAACTTTGTTATTGATTTAGCGACCGATATAAATCGGTCGCTATTTTTTTTAACTTTGTTATTGATTTAGCGATCGATTTAAATCGGTCGCTATTTTTTTAACTTTGTCATTGATTTAGCGACCGATATAAATCGGTCGCTATTTTTTTAACTTTGTTACCGATTTAGCGACCAATTTGATATATTAATTTCGGTCGCTATTTTGCGACCGAAATAAAATCGGTCGCTATTTTGCGATCAAAATGAAAATCGGTCGCTAACACATTAGCGACTTGGCTTTTTGCGACGACGTCTTTCGGTCGCTAACCGATTAGTGACCGATTTTTTGATATTAGCGACCGATTTTTTCGGTCGCTAAAATGGTTTTTTCTTGTAGTGTTTTATCATATAAAATAAATTTATACCTGGGACATAAAAAAAAACTAACGTAAAAAAAACACATATTATAATAGCAGTTATTCTTTTATCATATATTATAAAAACATTCTCTTCCAAAAAAAACTTATATTATGTTTGTATTTGAAAAAAATAGTGTATTGAATTGAACGCCAAATCATTCGGACATTATTTGAATTTGATCTTTAAATAAAAAAAATAAAAAAGTAATCTTTGATCAGAATTACATTTTCATCGCGTGAATTAGTATATCATACATAAACCAAAAATATTACATCCCCACTTTCTTATAAATATAGGAAGTGATGCAATAAGTCTGCATTTAATATCCCACAGTTTTCATTTATTTGTACGAAATAATTGTAGGAATATTTACCCAAAAAAAAGTACAAGTAGAGGAAAAGTCAAATTCCTTCTTTCTTAAAAAGTAATGAAGTAGGAAAAAAGATACGTGAGTAAACTATTGCTTTTTGCTAAACACTCGTTGTTTGTTCTGAAACATATAATATCAGATAATTATTCCAAACTATATTAAAATAAATAATAATATAATTATTATTTTACCATTTAAAGTCTCTCAATCTTGTTTAAAATGTTTATATATATATATATATATATATAGTTAATTTTGTATACTTTTAATTGTAAATATTTTTACATTAACTCAATCAATATCCTAATTGATTTTTAATATATGATATTTCATAATTAGACGATATCTAAATTAAAAATATTCTGCATATTGATATAGTTCAATAAATTAAAGATTAAATTATCAAATTAATTCTTAAATATATAAATAAATAGTAATTAAGTTATGGAACGGATTTTCTGATTATCTTTCTATGTGTAAAGTTTACGGAAAATTTTATGAACTTTAAATACTAGTATCAAATTGATAATAAAAAAAATGAAATTTAACATTAACTAAAATGAATATTTAAAATTATAATTTAATAACAAAATGATTTTGCAAAACTTAAAAGAATAAAACCTAAAAAAGTAAATCGGAATCTATGTTATGTTAATAAATAATGCATTTCAAAATCTAGTTGTGTGTTAATATACATGAACAAACCAGAAGGAAAAACTTTATTTCATTACATGGCTAATTAGTTCCACATAGTAATCACAATGACAACATCACAAACTCATGCCAATGAACTAAAGTAGCCTTCAAAAATGAATGAACAAATGAATTTGAAGATCATCTAATGAACATGCTAAGAACTCAAAGGTGGCAACCACAGCAAAGGTAGAACACGCAAAGCGTGGAAACAATCACAACACCCTCCACCACAGAGACAATCTTGAAAACCACAGTGTCCACGATGGTCGTGTGTAAGTGGTGTCGTTTTCCTCGAAACGACGACGACAACCTCCGTGGCCACAACTCCTTGCTCAACCTCTTAAACGACCACCTTGTGCCCTTCTTCTCCATCAAATTGTTATCTCAAGGGTTGATGAAAAGGGTCTCAAAATTTCTTGGTTTGGTCGTTCTTATTGTTTAGTGTGCATGCAGAGAAAGGGTGTGAGGCTGGTTTTATATGCGTAGAAAGCAATGAATTCTGATGGTATAGTGCCTTGGATGATGCTTCAACGACAAGGGTGTTTGCTGGCTCTGGTTGTGTCTTGCTGGCCTAAGATTACACGTAAAATTGCACTTTCGTTCTGTACTGGTCCTCCTCCAGATTCTTCAATCATGGAATATATATATATATATATATATATATATATATATATATATATATATATATATATATATATATAAACATTTTGTTGCTTGCAAATGTGTAATCTTTCTTATGTGTGAAAATTTGAAAAGGATGATGATAGTTTGATAATAAGAAAACTACTAATAACATTAAATAATATTATATAATATTATTTTCAATTATCTAATTTTCGTTTTGTAAAATAATTGTTTTTGTTTAAAAATGAAATAAAAATTATATATATATATATATATATATATATATATATTAAAGTAATCTCATATCTATTATATAAAAAACATTATAGTATATTGACTAATATAATTTTTTCACATAACTAATTTTATTAAATTGAGATAAATATTTTTTTATTTTTAAGATGATCCAAGAATTAATTTTAACAAATATTGAGATATTATCGGTTAACTAAATCACTTCTTATTAAATCAATATTGGATTATTATAATATATAAGCCAGATTAATCGTTACTATATTAAATTGATTTTACAATATTAGATTATGTATGTTATATTTTTAAGAATATATGTTATCAACGTAAGATAATTTTGTTCAAGACTTTAATATATGTTTTCATTCATAAGACTCGAATTCAAGATATTATACAAAAGAAGTTAAATTTAACACCAATCAAATTAACGACTTGTTAGTGTTTTTAGGTTTTATTTTTTGTTGTGGATTATTGTATATATTAAAATAAACTGAATATTCTAAGGATAGTAGTAGCTGAAAAATTTTAAAGTGAACTTTTTAACTAAAGTGAATCCAATTTAAAGTTTTTCATCTATTAAGAATAATAATAAATATATTAATTATTAAAGTAATTGTACTCCTCAATTTTTATTTATCTTGAATATAAACATTGATATAATTTATTTAGGACAATGTGAGAAAAAATAATTAACGTTTCATTGAAAACAAAAACATCAGTCAATTTGACTTTTTTTATTAAATGCATAATTTATTATTAAAGGAAAATATAATTCTGATTTGAAAAGTGCCAAAAATATCTATAATATTGTGTGAAAGTAATAAGTTTTATTGAAACTGTTATTAAGACATCTCACATGATTTCTAATGGATTATAAATTATTCAATCACTATTCATCATCACTTAAAAAGGAAAAAAAACCTTTAAAATTAAAATGGAAAGAAAGAGAAAACTAGTGAACATATATGTGTCGTTTTATAAGTGTGAAAAATATATAAAATATAAAAAAAAAGTACAAAGAAGAAAATCGCCTTTATATATTTTATTGTAATACGTATATTTATTTATTTTGATGGGAAAATAAAAAGGTTAAAATGAAAATATCATAAATATTTAATTAGATTGAGAAATTTATTTTTTATTCCATAAATAAAAAAGAACGGTGTGGGATTGAGAAGAAGAAGAAGTAACTTTATTTGTAAAAGTCAGATGAAGATGCCCTGAATTTCCCATTCTCAACGTTGTTTCTTTTTAAATCTAAAGGTTGTTGAGGTGTAAAGATCGGTCAAAGATAGGGAACTTCCTCGTAAGTTCCTGGTCAAAGGAAGGCTACTTCCTTGCAACTTCCTGGTCAAGGAAGGAGCTTCCTGCAACTTCCGGTCAAAGGAAGGGAGCTTCCTCTCAACTTCCTCTCAAGAAGGATTTGTTTGGCTATAAATACCTCATTTTGTAACCTCATTTGTATCCAATCCAAGTGTGAAGAAAGAGTAGAGAGAGTGTATTCATACGGGCTTGTGTGAGTTGTAACATTCGGTTTATCCTCTTATTCTAGTTCATTCTCCTGGCTTGGTTCGCCCCGGATGTAGGATTTAATCCGAAGCTGGGTTAACAAATATTCGTGTCTTTTATTGATCTCACATTGGTGTATTATTATTATTCCATCTTATCAGACCTTATTTCCCAACAAGCTGGTATCGAGCCGGGAGGTTGGAAATAAGATGGAGGGAAAGATTCAAGTCGAACGGTTCAATGGTTCAGACTTTGGATTACTGGCGAATGCAAATGGAGGCTTACACGTACGGGAAGGACCTCTACGCACCTCTTGGGGAAAAACCCGAGAAGATGAGCGATGATGAATGGAAGGTGCTCGATCGGAAGGCGATGAGCGCTATAATTCTTTCGCTCTCTCGGAACGTCGCCTACCATGTGAAGGGAGCAAAAAGCACGAAGGAGGTCTTGCGAGATACTCGCCGACATGTATGAAAAACCATCGGCAATAAACAAGGTGATGTCGATGAAAAAGCTGTTCAAATTGCAAATGGAGGAGCGAAAGTCGGTGGCCGATCATCTCAACGATTTCAACCAACTCACGACGCAGTTGGCATCGGTGGATATTTCGTTTGATGATGAGGTAAAAGCCCTAATCTTGCTCTCATCATTGCTTGGACGGTTGGGACGTGGTCATTACTTCGGTGAGCACTTCTTCGGCAAGGAGAAGATGAAGTTCGACAACATAAGAGATATGATGTTGAACGAGGAGACCCGCGAAATCGAGGCGGGTGGGTCGTCCGGCTCGGCCCTACATACGAGTCCGAGAGGGAGACCCGAAACACGAGGGAAAATCCGTGGGAGGTCAAAATCCGGGGAAGGAATAAAGGCAAGAAAGAGATGGTGTGTTGGAGCTGCGAGAAGCCTGGGCATATGAAAAGCGAATGCCGAGCACCAAGGAAAGACAAAGAAGGTCGGACGGCCAATGCCGCGACGGAGGACACGGCGGATGCACTCTTGTTGAGTGTGAGAAGCTCGCTCGATGAGCTGGATCGTGGACTCGGGGGCCTCATTTCACTCATGCGGTAGCAGAGACATCATGGAGCCATACACCGCAGGTGATTTTGGCTTGGTATATCTTGCGGACAACAAATCCCTAAAAATTGTAGGGAAGGGAGATGTGCGGATCAAGTCCGCAAATGGGTCATGCTTGGACCCTACGTGATGTGAGACACATTCCGGGATCGAAGAGGAATCTCATCTCAATTGGACAGTCTGGACAATGACGGCTTCCACACAATGTTTGGAGACGGAAAGTGGAAGGTCGGCCGAGGAGCTATGACTTTGGCAAGAGGGTCGAAGTCGGGAACGCTTTACACGGCGAGTAGATCCAGCTCAAACATTCTCCTGGCGGGAGTTGTCTCACAATCGCACTTATGGCACGGTCGCTTGGGCCACATGAGCGAAAAAGGAATGAAGGTACTAAAGTCGAGAGGACTTTTGCCCGAGTTGGAGTCGGTGGACGTGGGTCTCTGCGAGCAATGCGTGCTTGGAAAGCGAAGCGAGTGAGTTTCATAACCACCGGAAGAGCTCCAAAGACAGAAAAACTAGAGCTCGTGCACACCGACTTATGGGGGCCGGCACCGGTGACATCTCTTGGAGGATCGATGTACTACATGACGTTCGTCGATGACTTGCACAAGAAAGGTATGGGTGTACTTTCCGAAAAGAAAATCCGAAGCCTTTGATACTTTCGGGAGATGGAGAGCACTCGTGGAGAAAGAGGCAGTGCGGAAGTGAAATGTCTCGGATCCGACAACGGTGGCGAGTACAACGGTGAAGCCATCAAAGAATACTTGCGCCGATCATGGGATCCGGATGCGAGAAGACGGTCCCGGGGACACCTCAACAAAATGGCATTGCGGAGAGGATGAACAGAACAGCTGAATGAGCGTGCGAGATGCATGCGATTGAAGAGTGGACTGCCCAAGATGTTTTGGGCGAAGCGATCAGCACGGCCGCTTTCTTGATCAGCAGGGGCCTTACGTCCCACTCGAACAACAAAATTCCGGAAGAGGTGCGGAGTGGTAAGAAAGTTGATCTCTCTTTCTTACGTACCTTTGGTTGTTTGGCTTACGTTTTGAATGACGACCAGGACAAAGGCTGGATGCTAAGTCAGTCAAATGTACATTCATTGGATATGGGACTGACGAATTTGGGTATAGATTTTGGGATGATCAAAATCGGAAAATTATTCGCGATCGTAATGTGGTGTTCAATGAAGGCATAATGTACAAGGACCGGAAGGAATACCGGACGATGACAAGACCATGCGGGAGTATGTTGGTCTCGATATTTCAAATACCGGAATCATGAGACCAGCGAGATACGAGTGGGAGCTCGGATAGATGAGATCGAGCGTACGGAAGAAGAGGCGGAACCAGAATCGGATGAATCGATTGCTGAGAGCGGCACGCCTCGCAGCCTGGGCCGAGAACCGAGGATGAGAAGGGCCCGGATAGGTACTCCCCTTCTCTTTATTACCTACTTTTATCCGATTACGGGGAACCGACTGTTATGCGAGGCGGTTAAAGATGCCCACAAGAGCAAGTGGGAGCTTGCGATGGAAGACGAGATGAACTCGTTGAAGAAGAACCACACATGGGATTTGTGTGATCTCCCACAAGGAAAGAAGGCTCTTCAAAACGAGATGGGTCTATCGGGTCAAGGAGGAATCGAGATGGAACAAAACGGTACAAGGCCGGACTTGTAGTAAAGGGATTCCAACGGAGATACGGTATTGACTTTACCGATGTTTTTACACCTGTTGTTAAGTTAACCACTATACGTTTAGTGTTAAGCATCGTAGCGGCGGAAAACTTGGAGTTGCAACGGTTAGATGTGAAGACGGCCTTCTACGCATGGGGATCTCGAGGAGGAAATTTACATGGTGCAACCGAGAGGGATATAGAGGAAATGATCGGCAGTGTCGTCGCCTAAAGAAGAGC